ACAAACAGGACCAATATGATGGACGTCTCAGTGCTCAATGCCAACCTGTGGACCCAACAAAAACATGAAAAAAAAAAGACAAAACCAGTTGGGATTTCTTATTTTTTATTAATACTCAACACTTTTATTCCAAAGAGACAGAAGAATAATATTTCTCAGCACTTATTTTCACATTGACTGTGTTTAATCTCATTTTCAATATTACTAAATATTCAATCAAATTTGAAATACTCTCTTCACACAAGTAATTTCTCTCCATACAAAAAATGCAAGGGTGAACTAGATTTTTGTCATATATACATTTTTCACAGTCTGTACAGCTCAGGGATGGAGTTGTTCGATCTTCTGTGGCAAAAACACACAAAAAACAGAAGATTTAGCCAAAGAGGAAAAAAGAGAGACTACCTCTGTAAAAATGCAATAGATAATCTATTGTGCTTTCTGGGTACCGATTAATGATGGTGCTTTACAATTTCTCCCTTGAGAAAAACAACCTCCTGTAGCCGATCTTCAACCAAATCAAAAACAAAAGGAAAAAAAAATAATGCAAACCATGACTCATTAAATGTGTGCACTATCTGTGTAATAATAAATGATTGCACATATCCTGGCCTGAAGTCATTACAAAAGCAATTTTGCGAGGGGACCTGCGAATGAAAGATTTATCCCAAATAGATGTATTCTCTGCCGTTTTTGTACAGTTTTTTATCAAAAGTCCATGAGCGTGAGGTAAAGTATTTACACCCAATTTTATAGTACATGTACAATAAACAGTTATCTCTCACACACACACACACTCTGTCTCTCTTCCATGAGCACACACAGAGGTAATCAAGCGTATGTATTCAGGCACATACAATAACAGAAATAATGAAACATACTGAGATCTATTCAAAGGGAAAAAATAAATTAGGAAAAGTAGTTAAAATTAAAAAAAAAAAATAAAAAAAAGGCTTCTTAAGTGACAATGAATGTTTTAATCAAGACCCCAGCCTTGTTTTTAAAAAGCATCCACACAAACTATCAAGAAAACCGATCTTTGTATAAGATCAACAATAAAAAAAGTGTTTTCTAGCCTAGATGTGAAAAATTGTAATCAATTTAGGCTTATTAAATCGAGTATAACCAAAATTTTGACTCTTAGATTGGTGTCTTCTCTTACACAAACAAGCAAACACACGCACACACACCTACAGTACTACATGGATCATCAGTACCAGTGAAAGTGATAAAATTCCAAATATTGTTCAAAAACACACATTTTTTGGGCTAAAAGTTAAGATTAAAAAACAGAAATAAAGAAAAAAGTGTATACATGCAAGTCCTTACAAACACTAGAGACTCCCTAGTATCATACATACTGACTTGTCAACCAAGAGAAAAGTCTTCTAAGGTTTTGACTGGGATGTACAACAAACTAAATATTAGATCCATTCAGTTGGCTTGTGCTTAGATATTAAAATTGGTTTGGCAAAATGACTAAAAGTCAGGTTTAGGTGACACCAAGTGACTGAAAATGGAAACTAGTTGTCTTAAATAGTAAATTATATTTTTTTAATGATAGAGAGTGTGGGAAATTAAACGAAACACAACTTAGTTTTTGTCTTTAGAATGTGTCAGAGCAGAGATGACCTGCTGTGGATTTAGGAGCCGTCTTTTGAGCAAAAATACCTACAAATCCATCAATAGCAAGAAGGCGGATGCTTCTCACAAAATGTACCACTCTGAGTACAATTTGTCCTCTCTGTTATTTTTTTTTCTCCATAAAAGTCTGCAGTCAAAACAATCGACACAGGTCCTTGCACTTTAGGGCAAATTCTTCCCTTCATCAAAATCTTAGCATGTGAAACAGATTACAGCCCTGTTGAGGGACCCATCAAGGTTACAGTACATAAGGAAATTATTTTGTATGCACTTTGTGATGAAAAATTGTGACTTTGAGCGCTGACGAGTGGGAGGAGAACAGGATAGATTTCCTGTATTACTGTATATCCAGGTTCTCTCAGAGATAATGCAGGAGAACGTGGGAAAACACTTCCTTGCTGAGAGCTGATCTAATCCACATGTACAGGTGTATTTTTTTTCCTTATTCGATCTAAAAGAAACCCCAAATTATTCCATCTACAAAAAAAAAGCAAAAATTGAAACGCAGTCGTGATTTTGACGAACCAACAGGTGCTGATATAACTTGAACCCTGAAGCCTTGTTGGCCAATCAGAAGCCTGTAAAAAACAATTACTGGTTCCGGTTTCCTGCCAACGATGGTAAAGGTAAACTCTAGTAAAAGGAGGAATCATGTGTATGGACTGTTTGTGATGCCTCTGTTCCTCAGTGTAGTGGACGAATAACTGGACAGTTATGTGTAAAAGTCCTGTTAGCAAGGTTAGCACCAGCACTGTTATGACTGTTGTGGTCTCATCTGCCACTGCACAGAATAAAACCCCTAAAATGGAGACTTTTGGAATCACTGGCCGCCAACTCTAGAGTTGTATTTTAGTTTAGAGGGGAAGAAATGGAGCCTTTTGAAAACAGTGATGCAGACACACAAGTTTGCTTGGGCATACTGGGTGTTACCTTTTTCTACATGACTCATTACACTGTAAGAAAACAAAAGCCTTTACCATCAGTGGTTAACTCAACATGGATGACGAATTACAGGCATAGTTGCTTACCTTGTCTTCTATGCTAGCAGCTGTTGCACAGTTACGAAAATTATGTCTTTTGATGCTATGCACAGAAAACAGTTGTGAAATGGTGCTGACGGAGATTGAGGTCTTTGAACATCTTCACCCTGGAAGGAGTTTTCTAAAAGGTCTGTTTCCAGTGACCTGAAACTGTGTTTGCATGAGGACAAAAGGCCAAAACACAGAGAAAAAGTCATGTTTGAAAAAAGTAAATAAATAAAAAATACCCAGGTACATGTGGCATTAGATGACAAGATCAGCACTTTCATATGATTTTTTTTTCTTTTTAAATATGAAATTACTGTCAATTAATTCAGCTTGGAAACATAAGGATTAAACAGAGCAATCGGGTTTCTGTCCGATGGTGACAAAATCTGCCTACTGGCAACTTTAGAGCTCAGAAATGCATTTTTTTGTTTAATCTATAAAAACAGAAGTTGTGGTTTTGTGGGCAGTATACAACCTCTCTCACGTTTCTATACTTAGACTGTGTGCAAATTAAGCAAGTAAAGTTTAACCTCTTTATTAGAGAGGTTTAGAGCTGCTGGTTGATGGGATTGTTATTGTCAATCAAAGTCACGATAGCTGTTTTTTATCTCTGTATGCTCAGATAAGCTAAATGGTAGATTCATGTTCATCGTGCAGACATGAAAGTGTTATTAGCGTTCTTTGCAAGAAAGAAAAATATATGAAACTTCACGAAATTTCAGGAGAGACACTAATCAGTATGTTTTTTGCGTTGTTTATGCCAAAAAAAGGAATGTGACAGTTATTTGGGACTGTGTACTTACATAGTTAAATTTATGAGCCTGCTGAGGTGCTTCACACCTGCACAATACAGTGCTAAACCCTTGTACTCCTCTCATCACTCAAATGTGACCACCTAATACGGCAGGCAGGGCTTGTAACAGTAATCATGAGAAAATTAACTGCTCATCCCAGCAACAGAGGCCTCTCTCTGAGAGTCCATTATGTCTCTGTCCTGAACAGCAAAACTGTCACGGCCAATTGAGCCAGACCCAATGAAACACCATGAGAGCAACAAGCGCACATTAAATGCGATTTACATGTATTTAATGGATATAGTTAGTTTCTGGGTCATCAGTTATGAGGAGGTTAGGAGTGATAAAATTTGTGAAGCTTCTTGGTAAATGATTTAAAGGACTGACTCGTAGTTAGAATAACTGTGGACTTAATAGCTCAAGCAGAAACTTGTACTGTGTACTTTCATTGGCTGGGGATCAATGCAGAAATTTAAGCTTCCTCTACTGCAGATTTAAAATTCTAAAATTCTACCCTCATTTCAGACTTCATTTATATTTTCACTCTCAAACCGACTGACTAATTGTTTGCAAGTGGACCTGTCCATCAACAGAAGACAGATAAAAAATCAGTATTAGTCCATTAAGGCACATCCAGCTCAAAATGTGAGACCTATTTGGTACTGCCAAGCAGAAAGAAATGAGAGGAAAACGGCAAATCAGTATGATGATGTTGCTTCTGCAGCTGAAAAAAGACGTTTGCAAAATTCTAAGTACATACAATGTACTCAGCAAGTCATGCCTTTCACATACACTTCACAGCAATCAAAAGTAAGAAAAGTAAAAAAAAATCAAACATGAAGAATTAATAGCAAAGAAGAGTCCAAATTACAGGAACCAAAAAAAGATTTGAACTGACAGCCAGTCTACCAGTCTCCTGTAATATTGGTAAGCTAAGAAAGAATTAACATCATACAAATATGTAACATGAACTATCTAAATAAATAAAATGTAAAAACAATCCAAACCGATCATCATTAAACACTGGAATAATATTCAATAATATTATTAACATTATCAATACAATTATTATTAGTTTACCCTGTTACTTCAACAGAAGTGTTGATTTCTCATTCATGATTGTATTTCCGTTGCTAAACAAAACGTTTGTTTTGGTGTTAAGGAGCTGCAGGAGGGAGGGAAAGACAATGAGCATGTGAAGAGAGCGGAGACTGGAGATTTCATTTCACCATTTCCCCTCCCTCCCTCCTTTCAGATCCTTCTCTGAGCGTCGGAGCAGCACCAGAATCCTCTCTTCTCATTAAAAACTTGTCTCCCGTCGGACTTCGCCACAGCTTAGCCGGCAGTGGCCTCTGTGCATTGTCCAAATTCTTTCCATTTAGTGGAGTGAGAACAACATACACACTATCGTGTCTCCTCATTCTCTTCATGCAGAGAGGTCATCAGCCTGTACTGTTTCTCTTTTTTCCTCTTCCCCTCATTTTCTTCGCTCACTTCATCTTCTCTCTCTTTCTTTTTTCCTCTGTCTTCACTCTCAGACATCTGACTCAATGCTGGAGAGCTTTTCGTAAACATGTCCATTGCTGGCACCGTTGAAGGGTCTCTGTCCCTGCCCCAAACCTAATGTGTCCCTGCCCCCAGGCAATAGCTTGTTGCCCCCGTGGTGGTTCCCCATGGGCCCTCCCACCCCGCCCAGACACAGCTCTTTGGGGAACCTGGGGGCCACATTGGACATCACCCCAGCAGTGGCGGACGCGGGCAAATAGGAAGTCGCTCCCATGGAGCCGCGGAAGTCCCCTCCTCCTCGGCTGTTGTTGAGAAGTTGCTGCTGCTGCTGCTGTTGCTGCGTCTGTGGCTTTTTGATGTAGTACGGTTTGGCACCGTGTAATAGACACTGGTCGTCGCCGAAGGTTGGGATGAAGGGGTTCTGGTTCACCTTATCTGGGTAGAGAGATTTAGACAAGGAGTAAGTCCCGGCCCCTCTGCTACCACCACCACCACCACCACCACAGCCCCCACCTCCCATCATAGCTCTATCTCTGTCCCTCAGGTCTCTCTCCCCCACCGACCGCCGGTGCAACCCACCTTCGCCTCCACGGAACAAACTGAAGGAGGAGCCTCCTTTCGCCCTATCCCCGCCTATTCCTCCAAACATGGGAGAATCTCTGTCACCTGAATACCTCTCAAACATGTGAGCGTAAGGGCTGGGGCCCTCCATGTAGCGGTCTTTGTCTTTCAAACTCACACTCCGGGGCTGGGGAAACTGCCCCCCAGTGCCCCCACCCACTCCTCCCATGCGGCCTGCACCCTCCCTCTGCAGGTCCACAAATGTGTCATATGAGTGCTGTCTCCGTAACACCCTCCCACCCGGCCCTAGCTTCCTGCGCTGTGCCTGAGTTTGTGTCTGACTGGGTCCTGCGCCACTCTTCCCTCCTGTGAACACCATGTTATTATCCTCGCTGATGTTGTAAAGGTTGCTTGGCTGCATCTTACAGGAGTCACAGCGTTTGCATGTAGCTGAGCTGGGGCGACTGCCGCTCCCCCCGACTCCGCTAGCTGGACATGTACTACCTCCTCCTACACCTCCGCTATGGTGACACACACTGTGGCAGTTACGACACTCCCAGTCGCCCCCTGCTATGCCTCCCCCTCCAATCCCAGAAACCCCCTTTTCCCAGCAGGTGTGGGCCTGCTGCCCTGCTGATACTGCCCCAAGCCCACTTTTACACTCTGGTTTCTTTCCTTTACCTTTGAGGAAGTCTTCCACAGGCACTAAGCTTTTACAGATACCACCACCACTACCACCGCCCACTCCGCTTCCTCCACTTCCACCCTCTTGCTCCCACTTGGCCTTGCCCTCCTTGGAGCGAAACTGGTCCGCATAGAAATCCCTCAGGTTCTCCTTGTCTTTGCGGAATAGGTAAGGTGAAGAATTACCCCCTCCTCCTCCCCTCTTCCGCTCCAGGGGAGGTGAGACCGTGCGGTGTGCCAGGGGTCCGTGGGGGAAGTGGTGGTGGACGGTGTGGTGGTGGGGTCTCCTCCTGAAGCCGCTCAGCTCTATCTCGTCCTGCTCCCGTCTGCACTTCGCAGACGCCGGCCTCTTTTTCAGGCTGTCCCTGTACTGCTTACGCCGCTTGTTGTTGCCCTCCAGGTTCCCGTAGGTGACAGTGTGCGTTGAAATATCCGACACATCAGAACGAATGTTCCCATCGTCACCTCCCGAGCCTGCCCCGCCCCCACCACAGTACCTGTCATGCCCCCCGATGAGCCCCGTGCTTGATGCGCCTCCTTTGAAAGAAAACCTGCCGTACACATTGCTTCCCTTGAACCCACCCTGGTTGGGCTCCGTAGGGGTGTGGCCAGCGATCAGGTCAAATTTACTGGTGTTCCTGTGAGTCATGGAGGGACGGGGCTGGGTGGTGAAGATGGGAGCTACCCCTCCCCCTAAACTGTCGCAATCGAACATGCCCCCCTCCAACGAGCTAGCGCTGCCTAAGCTACGCGGCCTATTTGGCGGGGGGCCGGACATACCCAGAGCCGAGGCCGGGTGGTGGTGCCGGTAATGGTCCTGGTACAGGTTGCTGTCCTTCAGGGGCAAGTTGCCAAAAGTCCTCTCCACCTCGCTGATGTAGTCACTGAACATGTTATCCTCTGGCATGTATGGCGGCGCAGACTTACAGTCTACAGGGTGACCAACCAGGCTGCGCCGATGTTCCTGGATATCATAGATGGCCGACTCGGGCCGACTGTGGCTGTACTCCAGGGCGGCGTGTGGAGAGCCGTTAATACCAGGGACGGCGGTCATGTCCTTGGCGGTGCGGAGCAACCGCAGGATGTTGGAATGGGTGTTGTTCATGTTCTTCTTCATGGTGGACGAGGGTGAGTCTATGGTTGACTTGTTTTCCTCAATTTGTACCCCGTGGATGCAGCTGTAGATACCCTGGAGTGCGAAAATTAGAAGAAAAGGGAGGTAGAGAGACAAAGAGAGGGTGAGACAGGCCATGGAAGGAGGAAGAAAGAAGACGAGAGTGGCAAGGTATGAAACCCAACAGTAAAACATGGACCAGTATTAAGGAGTTGAGAACCAGAGGGGATTTAATGTTAGTGAGACAGAGCCAAACAAGAGGACACATAGACAGACAGACAGACAAAAAGAGAGAGAGAGAGAGAGCGAGACAGAGAGAGAGAGAGAGAGAGAGAGAGAGAGAGAGAGAGAGAGAGAGAGAGAGAGAGAGGCAAATAGAAACAGGCAGAGGCAGAGAGGTTAATGCATCGCCATGTTCTCGATGACCACTCTCTTGTTTACACACTATTAAACAGTAATAGGGGCTGAGTTCATAAATGACTTTTCTCTGGGGAACAGTATGGACTGCTCAGCACTCAGACACTAAGAGCTGAAAGGAGAGGCAGATCAGTGCCTTGATTGATAACACGAGTGAAGAAGTCAGCTCGTGGTTTTGAAAAATCAATAGGTTTAATCGATGTCATTTAAATTCAGCTGACACTAGTGCCGCCAGCATTGTTCATCACAAGGGCTTTACCTGTTTCCTTTCAAGAGAAAACAAGGAAATTAATCACTTTGCAAAAGTTTCTCTGACTTACTACAGGTATCAGAGACATAAGCGTGAACTAACATCTACTTAAAATGTCATTATCCGTCAGTGTGTGTGTTTATTTTGGTAAAAGCAAGGTTTTCATGTGAGCAGAGTCAAAGAAGCGTATTTAAATGGGGGCTGAGGGAATCTGTTGTTGAGGCGACAGCCAAATCTGAAAGGTCGAGGACACACTACCCACCAGCCAGCACCATGGCCAACATTCCTCAAAGGCGTCAACTTGTCAAAAACAGTTTCTGTCTGTCTCTTAGTCACTTTTTCTGTCGCTGAGCTACATTCATGAATGCGAATCGTCAACCCTCTTTTCTTTTATGCCTCCATTCTTTCTTTGTGTCTATTTTATCTCTGTTTCCGGGTGCTTTGGCAAGCGACAGCTGCTTCAATGGGATTGTCTGTCTTTACTGTATCTCTGTACATCAACTGCTGCTATGGCTGCTGTGAAAGGTAATAGAACAGATGTTAGTGGCACATTGCTGTGTCTGTTCTTTTCTACTTGTCCTTTGTCCTGCTAGCGGTTTTGTTCTTTATCATGACTGTTGCTGACTGATCTCTTTTTCTCACTCTGTATCTTTTTTGCCCTTTGCTGTCTCATCACGTGCCCATCCTTACACTGGCAATTTCTTTGAATGCATTTTTTTTTACAATATTTTTCTCACACTTTTCTTATTTAACCAGGCAGAAAAATTAATGAAAGATCGCTGGCTGTAAAACCACCCCCGAGTTAAAGGAGCCATTTCTGAAATGTGTCCGAATTTAAAATGGGTGTAATTCAACAGGGAAAAATAAAGCTTATAGGAAATCTTAAAGTTATCATATAAAAAGTTGTTATTAAGCTTTGTGTATAAAAGAAAAAGAAAAAAAAACATAAAAGAAGGTGAGGTTTTTGCCAATAAAGCAATTATAGAAAACTGTGTCTTTCAGAAGTTCGCATGGTAATTTCTCTTGCTTAAGGTCAGTCTGAGTAGGTGTAGACCAAATGACATTGCAATTAGAAACAGCTTCATCCTTACGACTAAACACATAAACACAGGTGTCCTTTTGTCTGGCAAACAATGACTAAGACAATTTGCATGTGACAACAACCTGTCTTTTAAAAGGTAACATTATGCAAATGGATTACACCTCGAGTGATTATTTCTATGGACCCAATTTACATGGTGAGGAGGTTAGGCAGTAAACAAGGTTTGGATCCTCACAAGCTCTCTTTCACCTTTAGTACAACTGTATATGTGTATCGAGACAAGTGAAACACAATGAATTGCATCGAGGAGGAAGTCTAAAAGTGTGCAAAAATGTGAAGGATTAATGTTTCTCGAGCCTCTCTATAATGGAGTGCAGCCATTTCTAAGAAGTTAAACACTTTTGCCTTCAGATGTGGTCAGAAGATCAGCTAGTTTGTTTGAAGCATATTGAAATGTTTGCTTTGTGTAAACACATTTGCTGTTGCAACTTAGCAGTTTTGTCCATGTTGGTTATTTATTATGAGGCTGCTGTAAGCACATAGTTGCTATTGGTTACATCGAAAAGCTCAGAGCTTTCACAGGCTAGCTATTTTAAGGCCAATTCATGCTTACCATGCCCACCTGCACATGCGTGATGTCCACAAAAGACCCCTTTGCAGACGTTCGTCTGCAGTTCAAACTTTGTGATTGCATAAAATGTAAGCCCCCTGACTGAATAATGATGCTCAAAACAAAAGCTTTTTCTGACAGCAGTCCGTGCAAGTAGATTCTGCATCATCATCATCATCCTCGACAACTTCATAATTTATCACTAAAAGAGTTGTACTTGAAGTAGTTGCTGCCAAACTTTGGAAGTGCTTTGATTTCTATACTTTGTCCATCAACAAAGCCCAAACACTGTGGGAAGTTCTAAATTCTCCAGAGACTTCATGCTCTGTCCACCCACTATGCCCAACATACTTCAAAAAATAATCACATTGACACGGTGCTACAGCCTAATCTGTAACTAACCGCTATATCCTGTAAAAGGTGCAAAGTCACAACAAGCCTTTTCAGAAATATTCACATGAGCTGAGTATGTTTTTCTGTGTTTGATATGAGGGGCGATGCCACCATCTGCATTGCAGAATAGAGTTGCATGCACTTCTAATGTCCACTTTTAAAGTCTGCATCGGTCAGCACAGAAACCATGAAGTGGCCTTTACTGTCCCACAATGAACTGTCATATTTGACATCTTCAGAATACTAATAGCATATGTTTTTCAGACAAACATTTAAAGCAAAATCCAAATTCTACATCTGACAATCGCAAATTATTTTCATAAAATATTTCTTAATATAGTTCTGGTATTCTACATAAGAAAATGGTCAAAATATTTTAAACTAACACATGACTTTGAAAGGCAAATAAATGAAAGATGGACAAAAATGCTTTGTTGGCTGGGACTCATAGGGTTCGGGTTATATGATAGTATATTATTATAATATTTGCTCCACTGGGTAGCAGTGTGTAGAATTAGGATAGGTGGGTTTTTATTGTATAGCACAGGATGCTCTTGATGTCTATTGTTTTGTTTCATGACTGCCTGAGCTAAAAAAGCCACAGGTAAGTCAGTTGAGTCATTGTATCCTCCTGACCGACTCGATACACCTCAACAACAGCCAGTGGTTTCAAATCAGCCACTCCTGTGATCTTTCTGTCAGGAGGACAAAGGTCAGACCTAAAATAAAACATCACCACACTCACTCTGCTAATGGAGAAGGTGAAACCGGGCTTTCCGGAGCACACGCCCATGAAGCAGAAGCGCAGCTGCCAGTAGAACAAATGTTCGCAGATGAAGGTGATGAATGACAGAACCATGGCAGCCCCGAGCATGTAGAAGACTCCCGCCATGTTGTCCACGTCCAGCTGGCTGCTCATCACCTCGTTCTTCTCATTGTGGCAGATGCCTGTCAGCCACAGGGCCTCCAATTCCTCCATCTCTCCTGCAGACACATACACACAGGTTACCGTATCTTTGTGCTGGTCAGGTGCGACCTGTGCACTTGGATGGGTTTGCCTGTAGGTGCCTGGAAATGTGAGTGCAACAAAAAGAGGGCACATTTTTTAGATGGGGTGTTGATTCCAAAAACAGCTCAGGTCTCGTATACGTGCAGCAAATGTCATGTTGCATTATTTTGACTGAATGGCCCCCCAGAGGACCATCCTCATTAAGGATTGCTTTTGCAAGGCTTCCTTGTTGTGGGGAAAAAAAAAAACACAACTGCCGGCTGGGACTTGACAGTCCTCAGAGAGGAAGTGTGTGTGTGGTCATGTGACAAGTGTTTCCGCCCTGAAATGTGTCTCCCTCAGTTCCACATCCCTGGGGGAACGCCAAGGGGGGAGGGCACGTCCAGAGAGATTTGTTTGATCTGCACCAATGGTCTTATTTTTTGGTGTGTGTCTCTGTGAGATCAAGGAGTATATACAATATTTTCCCAATGCTTACATAACACTGTTTTGTGTAAGGATGTTTGTGCAGATGAGTGTGTTTGTGTCAAACAACTGTTAACTAGTTTTCACCGAGCATTTATGTGGCACTATTAAGATGAGTGGTCCTCAGTTGTTATTGTGCACATAAAAACCAAAAAGAAACTCATTGCTTTGGACTAAAATGTGTATCAACATGAGCTAGGGAAAATACAAAATACTTTGAGGTCATTCATGTTGTTCATGAAAACATATAGGTACACTTTTTAATTTTAATATCACACTGTCTGTCATATCAACAACTGAATCGGAGCCAGGAGGCAGTTAGCGCAGCTTAGCATAAAGACAGGTGGCAGGTAGACACAACTAGCTTTACATCATCCAGCAGCAGCTTAAGCTCCAATTAATGGTTACACTTCATTGGGTTAAACCTACACAAACAACAATACACAGCCAGCAAACCTTTGCTAGTCATCCCAGCGCTTGTGTGTACAGCAAGTCAAAATGTCTTCTACCAAAACTGAGTGGCACAATTGTGTGGTACAAGATTGTCCCAGAGGTATCTGCAGATTTACCTGTTTTGACTCAATGTTTCCATATCGTGCCATTTGTCAGCAAATAAATCAGTCTTACATGTCCCCACAGTGTTATGAATTCAAAGATGGTTCATTTCACTGTATGAAGGCTTCTTTAAATTAGTAGAAAACCAAAGAGCTGCTGCTGTTTCCGCCCCCTTCAGGAGGGACACGCCGTCTGCATCTGTGATTGACAGTCGGAGCAGTCAAACACAGATCATGACATCTGGTTAGTTCAGTGTTACACAGCGGCAGGATAGAATTAGTGCTGGTTTGTGAAGCTAGGAGGCTAACTAGTTGTCGTGGGGTATAAGTAGGGTGACCATATTTTCATTACCGAAAACCAGGACACTTGACCCGACAATGAGATACTCAAATGATACTTGAAGTTTACTCAAAGATGCCTTATAATTTCAATACAATTAAAGTATGCCTTCTCTGTATGGATAGAAAATTGTTATAGTCATCTTATAAAAAAAACAACCGGACGGCCAGGACAGGACGTGAAAACAGATCATGTCCTGGGAAAACAGGATGTTTGGTCACCCTAGTTTAAGGAACAGCAGAAGTAAACATCTTCATAACTTAACAGCCTTTGTTTTAAACATAAAAAAACAATAAAAATAGATTTTCACCATATGGGGCCTTTAAGCCCAAATATCTGATTGAACACCTTCAAAGCAAAAATGGGAATTTTATTGGTTTCCTTTTAAAACCAGGTTCAGAGTATTTAGTTCCTGTCAGATGTTCATTTCCAACATGATTGATTCTTTTCAAAGGTGCATAGCTCTTAGTAGTCATTGCTTACTGCTATTAAATCTGTATGTGCTTATTTTAGATCTGTGTGAACCAAACTAAAAGGAATGAGTAAGAATCAGATCAATGAGCAGAATTTGTAATGAAGCTGAAATCTATAATAATTATAATTTATTGTCTTTCTATTTTTTCCTTCATTCTTATCTAATATCTTTCCCTCCTCAGTTAGTGCCTCTCAGCTTCCAGCTGTAAGGCCCATGTTGATCTTCTCCCTCTGTATATATAACATCATGCTCATATCTTGACTCCAACAGGACGTGACAGATAAGAGCAAACATCGATGAGTCTGGTCTCTGAACCTGGACTAACGTATATGTGTTGACAGCCAAACAATCTACGTGAAAGTAATGAGAGGTAATGTCTGATGTGTTGGCCTCATGTACACAGCTGACAAAACAATAAGACTTTACTTCAATTTGCAAATTTGTGCAGACATGTCTGATCTTTGGGAAACACACACTCAAACATGCACATTCAGTCCATGTACATTCACACATCCTGCAAACACAGACTGGCACGTTAGTGTACATCACTCAGGAGGTTTCCAACAGTGTACTTCGAGGTCTGACTCAATCTGACTCCTAAAGATCTGATCCAAGGTGAACGTTCTCTCTGTACTGACCTCTTTATCCATCAGGCGCGCCAGAATGGAAAGTGATAGGACCTCGAAGGCCACTGTCTGTGTATGTGTGCCTGTCAGTGTGCTGTACAGTATATGATTTGGCAGGTAGTGAGCAGCGGGAAGGATGCACTATCCCTGGAGGTGGAGAGCTAATGTAGGTGTATTCTGCTTTCCAAAGGCAAAGATTCGCATCAGGAACAACTGTTTCTTTAAAATGTAGCGTTTCCAGAGATACAAAATATAAAAACTGCTGCTAAAACCAAGGCCGGTGATACATTTAAAGGTCAGATTCTTTTATTCCTTGTTTCACAGAGAACCCAGCTCCTTCTTTAGAGGTAGTCATACCTGAAGAACAGAAAGATAAACTGTATTACAGCAATTGTAACTGATGCTTGATAGTAGTATGTTGACACACGTGCTAAATTTCTCTTTTTTTCCCTGCCTCACTTGTTAATTGTCAGTTAATAATGTACACTCAGTTGCAAGTTTATTTGGGCCACATATCTAAACTAATGCAGTCTAATATAATCGCCCTGTAATAAATCCTACCTGTAATTCAATACAAGCCACAAACCTCACAAAGTGCAGCCGGCAAAATCACCTTAAAGTTGAATTAGTGCCTCTCTACAACAGTTTGGACAAATATTGAACTTTATAACCTTCACGAACGAAGGATTTATGGCAGACCACTGTTTTATTTAGATGCCATTAGTTTTAAATAGGGACAGGAGTGTTCATGGTAAAAAAAAAAAACCTCAATCCAACTATTGTGTAATATCTTTTCCCTTGTTAACTTTACAATCTAACGGGGATGATTTATATATAGAATATAGGTAAATGTCATAGTGATTGATAAAAGAGAGATCTCAATTGATGAGTTTTCACTGGCTGCTCAAAGCATAAAAGAGAGAGAAAGTTTGACTCTTTTATTTAAGCTTGAAAAATGTTTTACATGTTGATTCCAGGTTTTTTTCCAATTATTTTTCAACAATCAATCAAAGAAATTAAGCTATTTTCCCCCTTTTTTGTGATTTCTGGCATTATATGTTCATCACACTGCACAAAAGACATACTTGAGTTCTCTCTACTTGGAATGATGGTTGTGCTGTTTCTATATAGCTACAACATGCGGCAATGAAAAGTGAACCCACAATGAGCAAATATAACACTCTGAAACTACTTGGAGTTCAGAGGGTTTTTTTCAGAGGATTAAAAAAAAAAAAAAAAAACACGGGGAAACTTTATTTAACTAAGAAAAGTTGCATTGAGAATAAGCAGATGCAGGTAACCCTAATAACAGCTGATGTCAATAAAACAGGCAGACTGCATGTGTCAATTTAGAATGTGTAGAATAAATAAATTAACCCGCCCACGTAATGTTATTTAACTAAAATGAAAAAAATATTCAAGTTCTGAGCCTGAGTAACATCTTACTGTGTGAACAAGTAATTTGTGGTGATGGACATTTGTTCGTAGTAAATCTTTGTTCCCAAAGAGATGTAAAGTTTGCATCCTGAGCATGTGCTCAGCCCAAATCAGCTGGCTCAAACCTCTCATCACAGAGAGGCAGCAACTCAATGCAAAGGCCAACATGGATCAGCAAACTTGTCATTCTCTTTAAGTGACACCAGACATCCTGCTGGCTTCTTTTGGTCACTCTCCAAAACAAACAGCAGCAACTGGGGCTCAAAACCAAACCTGACCTGCAAACTGAGAGCACAACCCTGTTATGCAAACAATATTTTAGTCTCATGTTTGTTATTTTCTCGTTGTTGTGCACTAAATGGACACATGGTTTAACCCCCTCCATATATAAATATTCATACAATACAGTGTGGTGTCAAAGTGCCACCACAACGTATAAAAAGATGCTAAAGCAGTCGTTTATACAGACACAAATGTGTTGATGTGTCACACTCACGGTAGCGTTCCCCTGCACATCACTTAGCAGCCAGGCAGAGGTAAATGTTAAGAATAAATGTCAATGTAAATAACAAATGTGTGCACTTTCAAAACTGTAAACTGAGCTTTTGTGTCTGTTTTTTCAAAAGTAGATCTTGAGCTACCAGAAAGAGATCTGAACTCTACATTTTTTGATCAACCTGGTGCAGTAAAGTGTGGGCCAATGAAAAAAAAAAAGTATCAGAGATTACATGAGAAACATGAGCAACACTCTGGTTTTGATTAATGTAAATGACTTCCTCTGTCGAGATTTTAGAGTGCAGACTGAACTAGTCTGAACAAGTCAAAATAGATTTCAGGTTTTCCTGCTAAACTTGTATTTCTACCTCACTGGTCCTCCAATCCATGGACCCGTTTCTGTAAAATCCCTGCGACATTGGAGAAATATGTCAATCACACCCGTCCAACAATATCCAGAGGCCTTAGCATTTCAGTTCTCATTTCGTCTATGCTGTTCTTTCTACCTATTTTCAGTTGAGGTCAACATTTCCTGTCTCCTGCTTCACAAAGTGCTGCCAGAACTTACTGAGCTACAAAAAAACAAGCTCTTCCTACATTCAGGTTTTCACTTCAACAATGACAGCAGCTGCAGCCTTTCAGGCCTGCTGGTAGCTCGCTGTTGATTAGCGACTGCACTCTGCCAACCTGGCTCAGGAGGCCTCATCCTGCAGCTCGACAGCCTCATCGACTGCCGGTTTCCGCCAGCAGGTTCTTGGGTTTTCACCATAACAAGCACCGGACACCTTCTGAGACGCAGCTCCTTTGCAGCCACTTCGACCACTCCAACCTCACTACCCCGATGAGAGTACGACTTCATTGTTGAAGAATTGTTGAATATTATTGTACATATTAAAGCTTGAGTAGCGGTTTCTTAAAAATAATGCATTGACTTATGCTTGTATGATGTTTAAGCCCTGTGAGGTTATGAAAATACAAATGTGACACATTATCATCTCTAAAAGTAATATGATACTTAATTTAAATAACACTTATCCAACTCATTACTTTCAGAATGAATTAAGACTGTGATGAGTTACATAATTACCATATCAAAATGGAAATGCCATCATTACTGATTTAAAATGCTCTGAGATTCCAACACTAGTATATTTATTATGCTTCTTCATTCAAGTATAAACAACCTTCCAGTCCTCACCATCTCCAAACAGCATGAGGATGGCCAGATCCACAGCTCGTTTCCAGCCGGAGTCTTTCTGGATTGCGATGCCGTAACCGGTGGAGGCAAACACTTTACCACTGCCGATGGTGACCAGCTTACAGCCCTCGTCTCTTCCGGCCATGTAGTTTAACACAGCAGCGTCGTAGATGAAGGCATCCAGTTTGCTGTGGATCGCGATGTATGGAAAATGTGTCAGGGGAACGCTTTTTAAAATCAAGTTATTGAGCCACTTGTACCACAAATGATGCTATATTATAACTGCACAGTGTCCAAAATTTGTTTCTAACAATGAATCACTGCAATGAGTGTCATCACTGCCATGTAGCATTGTCCAACTTTACATTTTACAAAAATAGTGAAGGACAATTCTGGATTTCTTTGTATTTGGTTGGACGTTTCCCAGAAATAACAACGTAATCTGGTGGTAATTACGGAGAAAAATATGACAAAAATAATTTATGTTGGTTAACAGTTGAGGCAGTTGCGATCAGTTTAAAAAAAGTTATTGATTTCTACAGTTCCAGTGTTTTGTGAGAACCACGTGATCTAAACCAAATTACACATTAAGTCATTATCCATTTATTGTTGGAAATGGTATTCTCCAGTTCTGTGGAATTATATGCTTGCCTCTGCACATTTTTGCATGTGAAGCTGACCTGCTGTGCACTGACTAAACACTCGAGGATACGCTAGCTTGGCATTTAATTGAAATTAATTAATTGGAAGCTCTCTATTTTAGCTATAATTAATGGCAAATCACAAAGATCTTTCGAGGAAACTTGCTAGGAAATTTTTCGAAAATAATGGGTCTATAAAATAAAGTGGCAGTTACAAAGGTACTGTGCTTACTGTGCACGCTTTACTTTTGTTTTCATTGTAAGAATTTCAAAAGGTACTGTTATAGCACAGAGATACTTCACTTTAAATGCGGCAAATCAGGCAGAGATGATTATTCTGTTTAATTCAAGTCTCTTCTGTTTCTTCTATTTTAAGTTGCACAATTGTCATGGAGATAGTTTAGCAGTTATCATGTTTATCTAAGTCCTGGAGGTAAAACCTGAACCTCTCCATGACAATTGTGCAACTCCATGGGCAGCCCTGTATTGTCTTCTATCCATATTAACCCTGAGTAAGTTGATAAAGAAATTGACATGACAGTCTCCAGCTTGGTGACAAACTACCATCAGAGGTGCCTCAGGGCTCTGCAGGCCTCTGTGGTCATTCGATTCTCAGCGAGTACCGGAGGTACACCATTGCTTTGCATTCCTATTTCTTCTGCAGCGGCTGACGAAAATGTTTGAAGACAGGGAGAGAGAAAGTGTGACGAGGAGAGCAAAGATATTAGCTAGCTTTCAGAGCAACCACAGGCTACACTGCTATTCTGGGTGTCAGTGGCAGGCAGATATGCAGCTCCACTGGCTGCCCACCCACATCGCCCAGAATGCCCCCTCTTCCTCTGTCTCCCTCGCCTTATTCCTTCATCATCTTTTCTCTGTGTTGCATCAGTACAGGACCTCACAGCTTCAAAACACTGCCTCTTTTCTCCCTGCTGAAAACCCTTTCAACCCCCCCCCGGTTTGCCTCATATCTCCTCATTTGTCTCTCCATCCTCCCCTCTATCTCCTCTCCTCCTCCTCCTCACCCAGTCTTCAGACTGTACAAGGCTTCATCTACATTCTTCTGGTGGAAGCTGGTCATGTAGGCATGCATGTCCCGGTAGTTGTTGCGGATGTTGCGTTCTGTACTCCCATTGGGCACTGTGCCAAACCGGAAAGGTGGCGAGAATTCGTTTGGCTTCTGGAACTGTGTGGGGGTTTTCAGGAAAAGGAAACACACAGAGAAAATGACAGAGGAGCGCTCGTTAGCATGGAAAAGGCACTGAGCCATATCAAACAGCCTTTAATGCACTGTTAAGCAGGAGCACAGGACTATGCTTTAAGAAGCTCTGAATTGACAAACTGCTCAGATTTGTGCTCGAGAGACGTGGGAGGATCTCAGGACACATTTAGACAAACATGTACTGTAGGCTGGTGTGTGAAATGTCTGAAAAACACAACTGACATGACTATGATAAGTCCAAGGTGACAGTCTTACAGATGAGAAAGAAAGACATATAAGTAAAAAGAAGTTAGAACTAGCTACATTACTTTACATTAATTACTCAATTATCACTATAGCAACTAATTCATTTCTCGTTTTTCAGCTAAGTGAATAATCAACTAACTGTTTCACTTCTAAATCAGTCGCTTGATTGAGTTTATTTGTAGGTTTCAACCTCAAACACACACAATTCAAAAACTCTGGTTGATCCACAACAATTTAAATAACTGTTCAGTCACTGATATGATCTTTTAGTCAAAATTTGACAAGTTGCAGTTTTCTAAATCTAAGGATTTGCTGTTTTTTAAATATATTTTTGCAAACAGGGAACATTTGGCATTGCATCACTTGGTGAGCCAAACAATTCAAAAATATCAACCAGGACTCCAAGAACTTGTGACAGCCATTAGATTGAAGATTTAAATGAAAAAATATCCTTGTATTTGAATTTAGGACAAAAAATAAACACACGGTTAGCATTACAAAGTGATATGAGGTTGATTTTTAGTGCAGCGCTACCCGCTACAAGGAGCTGACTGCACGGATAACTCTTGTCATCATGAAAATCGCATAATTGCAAATCAGAATGCATGAAAACTTGTCAGCAAATGAGCACAGAGTTCAAAATAGCTCAAAGCGCTAAATTTTTTACAGGTGCAACTTACCAATACAAAAATATAAACGACGCAGTCCTACATCACAAACTGTCTTTCAGACTCGCTCGCACGTACTTTCACACACCTGCTCCTCCACCCCACAAACCATCACACCGCTTTGAGTTCACACCTTTTTGTCTGACAGCCCCGACACCTGGTCGACATACTCCTCCTGGATCATGAAGGCAGCCAGGTTGGCAGTGTAGGAGGCCAGGAAGATGACAGCAAAGAAAGCCCACACTGACACCATGATCTTACTGGTGGTACCTTTGGGATTCTGCACAGGCACAGAGTTGTTGAAAACCAGACCCCACAGCAGCCAGATGGCCTTACCGATGGTGAAGGAGGGACCGCCGGGCTCTGGGAGGGACAGGAGGGGAGGATGCAAAGTAAGGATGAAAAAAAGAGATAAATTTCACACACCACAGTTCCTGCTTTGCTTTATGTAATTCCTAATACTGACATCGCACTTTTCAAGACACTCAAAGATGCTTTACAAAGTAGGTGGAACCAAAAAATAAATAAAAAATGGAGAAAGAAACGTATTTAACAAAGGGATTGTGAATTGCAGGCAGTGTTAAAAAGATGTGTTCTACTGGATTTCTTGAATATGGGGAGTGATGGAGGAATCCCTGATGCTCTGGGGAGTTCCAGAGGGTGGCAACGGCGATAGTAAAGTCCTCCTCAAGTACGATATTTGGTCTGAATGTGGGGGAGGCTTGGAGGCTAAATATAATTACATATATGTTTTTATCTCTATATAAAAAATACACTTATTCCCATCCTTTAATTTGATCACAGGATTGGGCATGCAGTTCACTCTTATAGCTCTTATAGCCCATGCAGCAACAGCCCTCTGTTACCGATTAACTCTGCTTAACCCGCCTCTTTGGCAGTACGACAAGGCATCGGGATGAAAACACTACCTACTGCAGCTCAATGGCATCAGAGCTGAGGAGTAAGAGAAAAAAGGGGGAGGGTGGGAGATGGCACACAGCAGGCTACAATTATGCTACAGCTGGAGCAGCACTATAGGACAACACCCTTACATAACCTAGTGATTAAACCATACAACCCATAAACTGTTGCTGCACCATAAGGCATGCAGAAAACTGTACTGTACTCCAAACTATTTTATCCCTTCTGGTTTAAATAAATAAATAAATAAATAAATAAATTAATAAATAAATAAGCAAAACAATATAAGACTTCTCTGATTTTATCTTGAGTGGCTGCCATCGTGGCAGCCTAATGCAATACTCAGAGTCAAACCGAGCTGAGTGTATAAAAGCTGGAGAGAAAAAAATAGATTCAATCTGAACCATTGATTTTGATGGGCAAATTGATTTGTGCAGCCTGCTGGAGCTGCATTTGATTCAGCAAGATAGCGTTGTTCCATACCGTCAGACACTGTTAAATCTGGCACATATTTTTTAATGTATGGCCATAGATCTGCGTAAGCGTAATCATTAGTATTACAACCCCAGATGTGGTGGTGTAATGTTGGTGTAATATTTGAGGACAGCACAATAAAAAACAGAACAGAACGTTCTTTTGTTCACACAGTGACGCTGCGAATACTTAAGATCACCTATTTGGTTCTTACCAATGATCCTTTTCATTCGTAAAAAAAGCTCAAGTGACAGTAGATGAAGATAAGTACTCAAAGTAAGAAGTCCCGCTGCTCCAGTTGTACTCATTCAGAGGGGATTGCCAAAGTAATTTTAGCACCTTGGGGGTTCCGTCTGAATGGTGCATTCAAGGTAACAAAATACGCCAGCTAAATTTTCATTTCAGCAAACCAGACTGCTTGAAAATGTACATCGTCGTCACCTTTTTGCAGCATTTGCATGCATGTATGTGCGTCCACTCACCTCGCCCGTCTGCCAGACAGCGATTGTAACCCACCGGGCTGAAGTACTCAAACACAAACACAGCCACAGCCGACACAATCAGCAGCATCACAAACATCATCACCCAGACGTCAGCGCTAAAGGGCTCTAAAACACAGAGGGGGGAAGGGGAGTGTGCATTGTGGTACAGAGGGAAAAAGGGGGAGGTAGGTGGTGGGAGACAGCAGGAGAGGAAGATCAGTCATCCAAATTAAACAAAATTATAAAATCATCCTTTGGTATCAACATGATTATTTGTATTTACACACTGTGTTCAGTGTGCTTGTTGCAGTTAAGGATTTTAATTGAGTTTGTGTGGACAAGCTCTTCTCAGGAGCAGAACTGAGAGGAAGGTGGGAAGGTGTGAATGGACAGATGAACTCATAGAAATGAGCACACTTTCTCCTTGTTTTGTACTTTGTTTTGCAGTTTTCACCCACTTGCTAAAGCGACATAGCTGAAAAAACTGTCTCCCAATCAAGGTCAGCTTGACAGCTATTCTGGAGCTTTTGACTGAACTGTCATCTGCACATTTTTGCAATTGCCACCTGTATATGTTCAAATTGTCATTTTCTGAGCACTCAGAACTTAAAACAATAGCCTTTCAATATGTTTATTGTTCTGTGATTGTCTCTCAATATACAAGTTTCGACTATTCGGGATAAAGTCTGCCATTCTAAAGTTGGAGTCAAATTGCCATGCACAAAGGATTCACAGAAAGCAAGGCTGGCATTGCTGTTTTCAGCTTTTTCTCATTTATACCAGCCTCTCAGCAATTGTGTACCAGAGCTATATTAAGTTGCTGCTAATGCAAACCCCATTTCTTATTGCTACTGCCTCACATTATAAGTGTGACTGCTATAACACGAGACAGCATTTAGTAGTCAGCGTAATCAGTTATGGAAAGTACGTACACGAAAAGTACACAATGGTGGTTTTTGTTATTTTTGGAACAATGTTGAATATTACAGGAACTACGAAACAAGAAGGAGCAGCCTCAGTGACTTGTGCGCTAACAACTTTTTAATAAGGCAAGAGACTTATTGTGCTCTGATGATATGCAGAAAACTTCTGCCTCCATGTTCAACATAAAAAACGATTTTGGTGGCTCAGGGAAAAAGTGGGAAAAGGCCAAGACCTTTAAAACACTTTTAAAAGCAACAGGTTCTCCAAGTTTTAAGAAAAATGAACAACTCCATAATAGCCACTAAATGGCCCTGGTATTTTTTTTTGTCAGATGCAGTTATCACAGTAAAGAATTAAACAACTGCCTTTTATTGTGTAGTCCTGCATTGGATGCTGGAAATAAAGCTTTTGTTGTTGTTTTTAGTGATTTAAAATCATCATTGAACCAAACTTGTCATCTTTTGGGCTGCCAGAACACATTGCTCACCACAGAAAAACAATGAAGTTGGTTTGTGGAAAACCCATTGTGTGTGTCTCTGTCTGTTATTGTGCATTTTTTATGTGATATGTCCACATCCAAGGGCCCTCGATTGTGTTGTGCATCTGCCAGAAACACCAGGTGCATTTCTTCTCACCTAGAAAGGCGGAGGGGGAGACGGTTCCGTTGCTACGGGAGACCATGACACTAATCCCCGTCTCGATGAACGGCACGGAGAAGTCGATGACCTCCGACCTCTCCTCGTTGATGGTGAGCGAACCCACTGCCATGTGGGCATTCTTCAACACCACCTGAGGGTCAGGGACAGACAGGCAGACAGAGACAAGGGGGAAACATGCCGGCTGAATGCTCTCAGGTCTGTGGCGAAAAACAGTTTGGTGAAAGAGACGAGATGACAAAAGTAAATTCAGTGCTGCATGTTTTTAAACCATCCACTGACCTGCAGTGTGGAAGCAAGAGGAAAAAAGGAGCTATGTCTACTCTGGGTCAATGTTTGACTTGAAGTGTGTTCAAGTGTATTTAGTTGCTGGAGCCTTGGGCCAGGAATAAAAAGGAGCACAGAGGACCTTGTTAATAAGGGATATGTATGCCAGAGTGAGCAGGATTCTTAAACGTGTATTTTTCCTCTGTTTGTCACACTTCTTTATGGAGGCCTGCTCTCTCATTCTGTTTTCTGCATCTGTTGTCCTGTTTTCCCCCATTCAAATGAAATCCTTAGCTGTTTGTTTAGGCATTTAAGTATGGACTAATGACCCACGCATGCTTGCACTGCGCATTTGCATTGCATTACCTTATGCCAAGTTACAGCCCACAATCAATAGTAAGTGGACTTACTTAACTTTATATAACACTGCAGATATTCACTAATCTAAGTTCTCAATGCACTGAAGCCACTCGTTCTGTATCATAATCAATTAAGCCGGACATCACATTGATTTATGAAGGCTGCATTATGCTGGTTTTCTAAAGTGGATTGTATGCAGGAGAGAAGTGGGTCTTTCCCCAAGGCCAATTTCTCCATCCTTCCTCCTCTCTTCCAATCGCTCTTTCTTTCTCTGTGTCTTTTTCTTTTTTCCGTCTTTTCTCTGATTAGGAGCCTCATTGTGGCCTCCTGAGGTTTTGTGGAGCTGATCACAGCCCCCCCTCAGGTCAGGTTGTGGGGAACGAGTGCTCGATGGCATGACAGAGATGGTGACAAACTAACAGAGAGAGATATATTCAGAGAGTGTAATTTGCCCTATCATAAAAAATAAACTCCTATGAGCACCGCAACTCTCGCTGGCTGTTTCGTATTCCATACTTTATTTTTAAGTCTGTGCATCGTATACATAATGTAGAATGAACTGCTAAGGGACTTAAGAGACAAAAAAAGTGATGAGCAAAGGAAAAAGAAAATGAAAAAACAACAAGTATGCATATGTTGAATAAATAAACATTAAACTGATAAAATATAAAGCACATGAATCCTTATCTGGTGCATTCGTAACCTTATTGATACAGTACATATGCTCATATTGTCACAGAGGGAGAATTTTAAAATCAGTTTCTCCCAGGAAAACAAACAAATTGGAGTGATGCAAATTTTGTAGTCACTTCCATCAGACTGGATGAAACAGATTTACCTGGAATCACAGCTCATCTCACGCTGCAAATTAACAGATGTTGAATTTGATCCCTGCCACCTGAAGGAGCTTTTTATGTTTTTTGATCAGGAGGCGGCTGTGGCTCATGTGGGAGGTAAGATACAGAAACCTTAGTTGCTCCCGAAGGCAGGCGAGAAACTCCGCCACCGTTGATGTACGTGTGAATGAGAAACACACTGTAAATTTAAGGTTAAACGGCGCTATACGAGTGTGGACCTTGTGTTTTCACTATATCATAAGTAATAGTGTTACGTTTCTTAAGGGATAAAGTCTGAATGAATGCTAATGATAGATGATAGGATGCCACCAGCAACACATCACCCACAATGATGAGCTAAATGAATAAACACTACCTGCAGTTACACTGAATCCACCGAGCACTATTCTACCTCTGGTAGAAGTCAGAGAAATGCAAAAAAATATCATTTTATTTTCAGCACGCTGCCTTATTGTGTCACTCCAATGGTTCAATAACAGTTGTATTGCAAAGTCTCCAGCGTTCTGCCAGCTGTGAAATCCACAATTAGCTGATGTGCCAGCAGGTCTGTATGAAATCGACCAAACTGTCATTGTGGGTGTTTTCAAGCTGCTCTACAGATGATGCAAAGCTGATGCTTCTTTCTGCCGCTGCTGCTGGGATGAGCAACATCCTCGACTGTGACCATTATACTGTATGCAAGAAGAGAACCATCTGACCACTGCAGATCAGTGGAACAGCATTAGCTACAGTCATTTATCAAATACACAGAGTGACTGTGTAACAAGGAAGAAACGTCCTCACCTCTCCAACCATACCGTTCCATGTCCCATTGACCTTCTTGCCGTGTTTGCCGTTGGTCACCAGGTAGAGGTCGTAAGTGAACTTGACTGTCTTGGCAATTTTCTTTAGGATGTCGATACAGAAACCTTTGCAGCAGCGCTTGATATAAATCCCTGAATCACCCGTTTGGTTGCTGGTAGGTGGAATGAGGAAGGAGGCGGTAGAAGAAGTAAAGATGAGAGAACAAGGGAAGAAGTTTTAGTCGTCAAGACGTCATTGGATATAAGTATTTAAAATGAACAAATTCACATAAAAACAGCACGTTGTTTCACTGATCAGCACACATTCAGAATGAGGACAATGGGAAACGCTCAGTTAAATTACTTGAGATCATATTCATCAATTACCTGACAACTTTCAATCATGTTTTAAACAAATGCTTGAAACATAAGGTCAGAAAAAGTAAGGCCTCAGCTTGTCCTTTGGGAAATTATAATTTCACCATTTCATGAGTAAATGATAAATCAGCAGTTGAATCAATAGTAAAGATAACAGTTGCATGCAGCCAATACACACAGAACACATGCCCCACTTTCCACATAAAAACTGATATTTGAAGCATAAAATAATGTGTGACTTTCGCTAGTCTTCCTTTTTTTCAGCACATCATTATGTTTCACGCAGGAGCTCTAAACATTAACAACGGTGCTGCAGAGTGCTCATTAACATTCATATCTCTCAGAGCTCGGTTTTTATTCAGGCTCAAGTAAACAGGTCTATATATTGTCATCCAAATTATACAGTAATTCGGAACTAAGAATAACACACACTGAATCAAACATTTAACCAAACTGTGCGTCATCAGTCAATAGGTTGTTTTGGCTCACAGCAGATACAGGTGCATAACAGCTGTGCGTAACAACACAATGACAGCTTTGGCAGAGCGAGCGGATGTTGCCAGTGCCAGACCAAGGACGAATGTGTTTGTTTGAGTGATTTGTATTCACACAAGGGTATGTCAACCTCTATTTATCCCGACTGCAGGCTTATGAATTCCGTTCCTGCAAGTGAACAACCTTCATGATTACTGACATAAAATGTGCAGCGTAACATGGAATAAAGTGAACACAGCTGTTTATTCGTGTGGCACTAAGGCTGGGCCCACATATCTCTGCTTTTGTACAAACAAAGACGACTCCACTCAGCTCCGTGCATCTGTTTTCTTGGAGTATTTTTGGCTGAAAAGAAAATTCTGCATATTGTGTGTGGCATGTTGCCGCCTATCCCTGAAATCTTGCACGTGATGCTGTGAGGGAAGGAGTGAGCTAGGGGAGGGGGTAGGAGAGAGAACAGGGTGAAAGATCTGTCAATAAAAACACTGAAGCTGGAAGATGTAGGGCAGCCTCGGGAGATTTCAGGTGGGGCAGTGATAGAAAAGGAGGCCAATGAAGAAAATTCATTATCACACTCTGAGGAGAGCTGGCTAGCAAGAGGGTCAGGGTGAAGAGGCAGGGGAGGGAGGAAAAACAGGGACAGAAACCAAGACAATGATCTAGTTAGCAGAAGTGAAACAAGTCAAGGTAATAACAGGACAATGAGAGAGTTAATCGTGAAAAATACATAACATAACAGCATGCTGCAGTGACAGAAAATATTGAATCCAGAGACACACAAAAAGTAAAGCTGTCAGCAGGTTTTTATGTGTGTTCCCTTGTAGAAGGGATTCAGTTATTTTCCCTAATTTACAAGAATATATTCGGCTAAATTCAGCTGCTGTTGGTCTTTGGTGTGACTTTGAATACATGCAAGAGAGTCTAAATATATCAACTTTGCCACCTGATGTATAAATCAATGCGGCTGCAAATTGAATTCTCAATTTAAATCCTTACGTGAGTTTGAGCTGTTTGCGGCACGGCACAGTGTTCCTCATGCAGGTACCACTGAGCGGGTCCACGTCCTCCACAATGACAAATGGCGCCTCTTCCAGAGTCACGATGGACAGGTGGTCCTCCCGCTCCTCTGCCGCAGAGTACAGCTCGAAGCGAGGCCACACATGGTACCTCATCGTCAAAGAGCCTCTCTCCCACTTGCCAACCTGCATGAGTGAGTGGGAGGAGGGCTGTGATGTACAGGCTACTGTAACAGGTACTTAAAGAGTCAGGGAGACACTCAGAAAGGGAAAAAAAAACAGTGACAGACACATTACAAGGGGCAAAAATACAAACTGGGGAAGAACGAAGGGGTTGGAACAAGATGAGAAGAGAAGAGAAGAGAAGAGAAGAGAAGAGAAGAGAAGAGAAGAGAAGAGAAGAGAAGAGAAGAGAAGAGAAGAGAAGGCAGAAGAAGAAGAAGAAGAAGAAGAGGAGATATTTACCCTGTCCCATTGTCTGTCTTTGTCCAGGAGAATGATGACCAGCTTAGGGAACATCTGGTGGCCTTCTTCACTAAATGACAGGTTTCGACCTTCAAATGTCACATTCATGAGGTACCTGAAAATGAGAGTTCGAGTTTGAGTTACAAATATCAAAATCTGTTTATTGGTCTGCAAGCAAAATGTACAGAATTCAAACTTTTATTCAGCTTTAAAGCAAAACTACCAAACTTAACATTGTTGTGAGACTGATACATTTATCAGCTACTCACATCGAGATAAAGAGAACATTTGTAGATTTAAGATATAACACTGGAACACACCAGCCATTTCTGGGTGTTTCTTTGCTCCTGTCACAATATTATTCAGTGTGGACTCATTTTTCACTGCAATATAAAGTCCTGCACCTCTGTGGAAACAGCACAATCATGGCTGGAAGCAGAGAGAGTTCAAAAATGTCTGCTGTGCAGTATGACACATTCACAATGCCATAAATCATAAAAAAAAGGGGGGGAAAAAGTGAATTTCTTTGATTTATTAAAAAAAAAAAATTGAAACAGCTTGGTATCAGCATGTACAACCAAGTGCCCACAGGGGTTACCAAGACTGGAAAAAATATAGGTATTATGCTTTTTATATTTTAAAGTTGCTTTCATGCCGATCTCCTATCAGCTCGGTGTAAACATAACCAAATAGTCCCAGAATCTTTGTCACGTTTTGTCACTCAATTAAGTAGATCCTGGCTTCAGCTCAGATTTTTTTTTTCAAAACCTTATTCTTTGAAACATCTATGATAAATATATTTTTGATTAAATAGCTTCGATTGGTTCTTTTTTGCCACTGAACTTAAAAGTCACATGTGATTAGTTCAAGAACCATTGGAACATTCTAAATCTAATGATTCTCCCAGTTTCAGGCTATAATACATTTTGTAATTTTGCCAGTCACAAAAAGAACAACACGCCTTTTGAACTTGCCTGTGGGTTTTGGGATTTACAGGGTTAAGACTGGTAATTTCTTCCTAGTAACTTACTTTTTTTTGGCTTCTTGGGGGCAGCACAACAAATTGTAATCACAACACTGATATATTTTCACTCAAGCTGCTTTGGCTGTGTGTTCACAAACTGTGGCACAACTACACATCCACTAGACATGCATTAGCATTTATTTATAGTCATCCCTCTGGCCACCTGGTGAATTTCAGTGCTATATTCACTTTTTCCAGCTCTGCCTCAAGCTCCTTAGTGAAATATCTCCTTCTTTGCTAAATTTCCCACTTTGTCCACCACCTGATTACTAACTTGTACTGTACACAGCGACCACAAAGCCGTGGACTTTACAACCGAAACTATGAGACGAAACTATGAGACGAAATGTGCTAAAACGGGAAATTTCTTTGTGAGCTCATCATAGAAACACCTTGGACATGGCGTGTAGATTTTTTTTCCACCTAGTTAATATAAAACTATTGATTAGTGCAGCTTGAAAGAAGACTACACAACATGACAGGAGTTTTAATACAGCACTATTATCCCAGTAGAAGCTGCTAGTAACTTTGTACAGATGTCAAAAGGCGAACTGCGGCACTCACAGTTTAAAATAGTGGGAGGGCGCACACAAAATCAAGCGCCCCTTTTTTATAAATATTCCCAAATGTCTCAAACACTGAAACATGGAGCCAAAACATTTCAGTCACAAAGAGTACACTGCTAATATGGGTAGTGACTCAGTGCTGTAAGATATTCAGTCCAAATACTTGGCAGTGTAATAGTAGAAATGTCCTTTTGAGAAATGTGTTGGTATGTAGTTCAGAAAATAATATCTGAAGAGGGCTATGTGTAATATCTGACGCCCACTGGCTTTACATTAATCTTTCAAAAACGCCTGTTTTATTGATTCTTGATTATTAGCTTTGCATTTCATTTATTTATACGTTTCATTAAATGTGTCATTTTTGGATCATTGGTTTGATATTTTGTGTAAATATTGGTATTTTGCTTCTTGCCATTTGATTAAACCTTTTTCACAGCTGTTTTTCTTCTTATTACTATTATCGGTAGTGGAAGCAACCCTGATATTTTATGCTCTCTAGGCACTTGACTAGGACCACAACAAAGATGACCCAGTTTGAAACATATGACACCTGATAGACAAGGAAGCATACAGAAGGACAAAGCGGGGAGGGTGATGAGAGCAACAAGAAACCAGCAGTGAAAAGTGGAAGAACTGGGAAGAGAGTGTATCAACCACCTGTGTGAGCACATATCAGCATATACGTGTGTGTCAACAAGTGTACAATGGTGGCAGATAAGCCGGAATCATCTCTCTTTCTTTCCCTTGCTGCCTTCTTCCCTCACTTTTCCTCATCCTGATCTGTGGGCTACCATCACCATGGAGACGCTCTGCCTCTGAAACAATCCACCGGAGAAATAAATATCTTGTCTGAATTCAAGGAGTAAGGAGCTGTGTGTGTGTGTGTGTGTGTGTGTGTGTGTGTGTGTGTGTGTGTGCAGACTTTCAAAGGAGGTACCGAGCACATTTTACCCACCATCATGTCCAAGCAAGTGAACAGTGTGAAAAAAAAGACAATAAATCTATTCACGAGTGAAAAAAATAAAAAATAAAAAATGCAGACAACAGATGAGCAATGGGCCTGAAACTTACCCAAGATTTTATCGCAAGTACTTTCCACTAGAACATTCAGTACCACTATCCGTAGCGTCTTCACCTATATTTATATCTCACACACATACACACACACAGATCTAAATAGGTTACATGCTTTGAGCAAGTCAATAATATGACTCAAGCTTCCATGAAATGCCTACTGCTGCACACAGGCTGGCTCGCGCACTATAAGTGCTGTAATGCACATGTAACATGGGATTAGCCTCCTAAGAATAATCTCAGTTTGAATAGGGCAAAAAAAAAAAAAAAAGATTAAGGCAACGTGGGTGGAGGTCCAACTTGTTGACGCCATGCCATGGCAACCCACGTGACCGGTTGCCGCCCCGCGAGCGCATGTGTCCTCATGACAGAGCGCGATATGTGTAAGCACACGCAACACGGCGAGGCTCTGAGCACAGCATAATGTAATGTAACGTGTTGCCATGGCGCCCACAACCACAGCAATTTCACGCAATCAGCAGTGTTGCCATGGGAACAGTAATCTCACCCGGGAGAGGCTGGTTAAAAGAGAAAGACAGAGGAGTTTTCCTTTTTTCCCCAGTCTAAATCTAAGTGTTTACCCACTTCCCCTCACGCTGTCTTTCACTTTCAGATCAATCTCTCCATCTAACCTCTGAGTAGCTCATCGAATTGCACATCAATGGGATTCATCTGCCCGTACATTAACCTGCACCTTTTTAAAGACTGATGCACGCTGTGAATTTACAGCAGAGGAGGTTGCTGTGTTTATCATTTTGTGGCCCTGTACTAGTGATGTAGCTTTTATGTGCTGTTTGATCCCTCCTCGTGTCAGCACTCCCCTCTGACTCTGGTGAAAGAAGAAGAAAGGAAAAGGAAAACATAAAAAACTACTGGGATGAGCTGCTAACAGAATCACATGCGGCTTCATCACAGCCATATGCACCAACTGTTCCCCAACTAATCACTGGCTCTGAGGGGAATTTATTTTTTAGTTACAGAGACAATGAATCATCAGTGGCACAATGGACACAATCCATCTTCGTCCATGTTTTTTTTCTTTCTCACATCTCTGTAACAGAGCCATTTCATATCTCGAATTCTTTCAAGTAAGCAGGGTCACAAATTCTCCATCGCTGCAATGCAGGGATGTAAAAATATATATCTCCTCTGAGTAAAGAAGTGTGTGCACATATACTACACATACACACTGACTGGATTTGTGTGGATGACTCATAATTTTTTAGAAAACCTGCCTCTGAAGAGTTACCAGTTACTGATAAAAACGTGCGCTACACATTACAGGTTTTATAGGATAGAAGCAGTGATTGTGTGGGGAGGCCGGTCAGATCAGGTAAACTAAAGGTAGCGCAGAGTAAATATGGTGTAAGAGCTGTGTCAGTCGAGGACAGCAGCGCAACTGAGGATATGTGTGATTACACCACAGTGGAAATATTTTCAGGTTATGGTTGGATAAGAGCGTTTAGGAGGCAGCTGCTTTGCACAAAAGGCTGGAACAAACAGGGTCTCCAACAGACACAATACAAAAATGCAAAACAGCCTTTTTAAACCTTAATTTAACATGTTCATAGTTCAAAAGTTTAATGAAAATTTAACCAGATTTTAACAAGCCTCATTAAAGTTTGCTGCATCATCACCTTCTCACAATTCTTCTGATGACTTCACCCCCAACTTTGTTTTGTCATATTAAAACAAAAATAAATTCATGTTTTTTATAATTTGTGGATTAATTTGGGCTTTTAATTCTAATATTGTCATCTGCATCTGTATATGTGTTGAAGTAACTGGATGCTGTGAGACTGCAGCTATAATCAAACTGTAACTGATCCTAGTGTCTTGTAAAAAAAAAAAAAAAGCATTTGCATGTGCAGCCTGGTTGTAAATAATGCATTATTTTACAATAACTATTCAGCATGGTTGTTGCTGTCTTCAGCATGTGTCATAATCAAATAGTGTAAGTTCCTTGAATATAAAGCATCTGATTGTCTGCTGCCATTGTTATAAAATCTGCATTCGGCTGTCATTCCCAAGTGCCACAAACTGTCTTCTTTCTGCCTTGCTTAATTTGGATTTGGGGCTCAGACTTGAATCTCCACCTGAATATAACAGAAACTGAATATAT